CAGGAGGCAGGGGGAGAGCAGGGGGTAGCAGAGGGGCCGGGGGTGTGACACGCGGCTGCCTTTGGGGCACCCTAAGCAATGAGGGCCCTCTTGGCTCCCGGCTGGCTCCCATGACTGTGACGGTGCCAGAGCAGGGCTGTTGTGCCCTTGGTGTTTGCAGCCACCTTCCCACCCTGCAACCAGACACCCGGAGCCCTGCTCCCGCCTGCCTGGAGCCTCCCAGGCTCGGGCACCTTTCGCAATCCCTGTGCGCTGGTCCCCGAGCTCTGCCAAAACACGTTGCAGAGGCCCAGGCTGTGGCTGGAGGAGGCGCAGGGCCCGGCACTGCCAAATGCAAATTCTGAAGACAAGCTCACTGTGTCAGTGACTACAACAGCTTGGAAGAGCTCCCCCATGCTGGTCACATCCCCGAGCTCCCCAAACTGCCCCAGAGCAGCAGGGCCTGGCAGGGGAAGCTGAGGTTTTCCCCGCACCACCTGCGGCTCACCGTGCCCTTGAGGGCGTCAATCTCGCAGGTGTAGGACTGGATCTGGTGCCGGTACTCCAGCATCTCCTGTTTCGCCTGCCGCAGCGCGTCGTTGTTCTTGTTGGCCGCCTGCGTCAGGTCAGATACCTGGGGAGACAGCAGGGTCAGCAGGTGCTGCCACCAGGCTGGATGGGACCGGGGGGACCCAGCCACCCCCCCACGCTGGGGCCTCTGCAGGCTCAGCCCAGATCCTGCCACCTCCACACCTTCGACTTGTACCACTCCTCGGCCTCGGCGATGTTCTTGGCAGCGATGCTCTCGTACTGGGCGCGGATGTCTCGCAGCGCAGCTGTCAGGTCCGGCTTGGAGATGTCCATCTCCACCTGGATGTGCTGCTCCTGCAGCTGCGCCTGCAGCTCCCGGATTTCCTGGGGAGCACAGGGATGCGTCAGAGCACCCGCTCTGTCCCCCAGCCCCATCCCTGCCTGGGGAAAACCAGCTCACCCCAGACCTACCTCTTCGTGCACCTTCTTGAGGAAGGCGATCTCCTCCTGCAGGGACTCGATGCGTCTCTCCAGGTCGATGCGTGCCAGGGTGGCTGCGTCCACATCCTGGGGGAACACGGAGAACGATGGGGTAGCTGTGGGGCTGAACACGCCTGGGGCCATGGGGGAGCACAGGGGCCACGCTGGCATTGGCAAAGCTGCCCACGCTACTGGCTGGCAGGGCAGAGCCGCAGCCCCTCGGGGGACGCCTTGGCTGCCCGGCGCTATGTGCTGGTGGCCACAAGGGCCGGGAACCGGTGGCCGTGCCCTGGTGCTGGGGATGTGGTGGCTGGGGGGGAG